TAGATGGATTACTATTATTTCTATTTGTACTAGCAAATAACTTACTTGTGATAGACTGGAGCAAATGGCTTGAGTGAATTTCTTTCATATAAAACACTATAAAATAACAATTTTTTTTTATTTTTTTTCTTTTCTACTCTTTTAATTATTTTATTATATTTTATTATTTCTTTCTTCTTTTCCTTTTTATTGAAAATAAAAAAACTTTTTTTTTTATTGTGTTTTATAAGAATCTTTTCTAATGTAGGATAAATAACAAATGGTTATTACATTGATTATTGAATAATGTAGTTGTGTGTTGTAAAGAAAAAAAGCGAATTTCAATATCATATAATTGAATGTCAATAGTATTAAATTGAGTAATGGTATAAATAATGAAAGAAATACAAAGAAAATTGGATTAGAAAGATGGAAAGAAAAACAAAGAATAACACGAGAATAAAAACAAAGAAGAAGAAAATAACACATTTCAAATCAAATGAAGAAATAGAAGAATAGATTAAAGAATATCAAATGAAGAAAACAGAAGATGAAGAAAACATCTGGATGAAATGAATGAAATAAGAAAAGACATAATTTAGAAAGGAAAATGAGAAACAGAAAATACTGATGAAAAGAAACAATCTAATTTCAATGAAATGATGAAAAATAAAAAGTACAAGAAGAAAATAATGAAAAGAATGTAAAATAAATAACATAGAAGAAGAAACAATGAAATAAATAAGAAATAAGAAATTTTCAGAGATAAATGAGAGAAAATGATGAATGAAAAGAAGAAGATATAAAAAACTCTGAATAACACCAAATTTCAATTAAAATCAAGAAAACAGAAAGAACAAGAGAAGAAATAAACAATCCACAAAAAGAAAATGAGTCAGAAAAACAAATAATATCAAAACAAGAAATTGATAATGAAAAATCAATAACAAATAAAATACAAAGAAAAGAATAATATGTATGATAACACAGAAAGAAGAGAATACAACAAACAAAACTATGAAGATGAATAAAACTACAATAAGAAAAAGATTGAATGATAAATAAAAGAAATGAAGAAAATACTGAATATCAAAAACAAGAAATAATAAATAAACAAGAAAAAAACAAAGAAATAGAATAAACAAAGAAATAGAATAAACAAAGAAATCGAATAATAAATGATATATTGTATTAAAAAATAATAGAGAAATAAAAATACATCAGAAATAAGATAGGAAGAAATAGAAAATATAATAAAAATGACAAATATTATAATAAATAATACAAATGAATATCATAAACAAATTTCACATCAAATACAGAATGATACAATAAAATGAAGTGAATGATATAATAGAAAACAAAAGAGTATAAAAACATGAAACAACAAAAAATAACACTACAAATAATGATGAAGAATATTTTAATATCAACAACAATAAAATCGAGAAATTTGCAAACATTAAAGAATAATTTCAAAGAAACAAATGAATAAATAATAATAAATGATTAATAACATGAGAAATGATGAAATTGAAAGGATAATCAGAAATCAAAATGGAATTAAATCCATCTTTAAAATAAATGAGATAAAAGAAATATCAAGAAATATCAAGAAAAGAAGAAGAAAATACACAAAATAAAAAGAATAAAATTCTTTTCAAAGAATAAAAGAATAAAAGAATAAAATATCTGAAAGATAAAAGATGATTGATGAATGAAGAAAATCAATAAAAAGAAAATAACAAGAAAATAACATAAAGAAGAAACACAATATGAAATAGAAATGATAATATCATAGAAACAATGAAATAATAAAGAGAAGTGATGAAAATAAAAAATGAAAAACAAAGAAACAACATGAAGAATGAAAAATATATAAAATACAATAATGTCACTAACACAATAATTGAAATAAAATTCAATATTAAAATTCAATATTAAAATTCAATATTAAGAAAATCAATAGAAATCTTGAATGACACAATATAATAATAACAAAGAAAGAAATAATACATGATAAGAACAAAGAAATCAAATATAAAATAAAATGAGATAATTGAATAAAAGAAAGAAGGATAGAACAATAAAACAAATAAAGAATAAAGAAAGAATACAAAGAAATAAATGAAATAAATATTCAGAAAATAAAGAAATAAAAAAAGAAATAAAAAGAAATCAAGAATATTAAAAATAAGAATTTAATAATAACAAACGAAATAAATGTCATGAAAGTATCACAAACAACTATAAAATGACGAAGTAATAAAAAGACTCATAAACACGAATAATCATCCTTAAATCAATAACAATCCAAAATAATTCTCTCAATACTTAATTATTTGTTATTTCTTTTATTCTCCTCATTTAATATATTATTTATTAGCCCCTATTTAAC